ATGACCCCCTATGAGCAGCACTTTGGCAACAGTGGGAAGGAAAAACTCCCTTTTAACAGGAAGAAACCTCCGGCAGAACCAGGCTCAGGGAGGGCGGGGCCATCTGCCTAGTGCTCCAATGGGGTGATATGGTACTACAAGGTCATTAAGATAAGATTGGGCCTGATTATTTAAGACCTTGTATGTGAGGAGCAGGATTTTGAATTCAATTCAAATCTCATGGCAAATATTACACTAAAATTTATAGTTAAATAAATTTTTATTTAACTATATATTATTATTTTTTGGATATTTAGTTTACTGAAACTAGACTAAAACTCAAAAAATGCAAATTATAACTAAAGCTAAATCAATATTTGCTGCCAAATTGAACAGGGAGGGACAAAATCACGGGAAAGCTTCTAGTACTTGTATAATTACCAGTTTCCAGGCTTTGTCTTCTGTCTTATGTGCAGAGGGAGAAGATTCATCCATGCAGATGAGAGCTTTGTGCTTTTTTGCCCACAATTGTAAAGGAGTGAAATACAGACTGAGGTGTGGCTTTGCACTATAAGCAGCATTGTTCTATCACATGTGATTTCTTCCCTCTCCAGAGGCACTTACAGCGCTGCTACTTTACGGTCTAACAATCAGCGAATCGATGACTTTCCTTTTGGTTTTATTACTCAAAATGCTAGCATATGTCAGCCACCCATCTCTTTGTTGCACATGCTTGTTTTTTCAGTAAGTCGCTGCAGACATAACTGATAGTCCGTCTCGCCTTACCATTTCACCCCAGTGGCTTCAAACTGTCTGCAGTCATTTCCTCTGTTTGATCCAACCACTTTTCTTCCTTTCCCTTGTTTTGTCCAAGGACGCCCCCGCTGCGCTTCACCGTTCACTCCCAGTTACCTGTGCGCTGATAGATGGCATCAAATAACTGGGTTTTTCTGCCATCAGGAAAAGAGGATTACTCTTCATTTTCTAACAGTTTCTGACAGGCCAGTTGCCGACGCTGCTAAATGACTCGTGTAGTCTGTGGGTTTTTTTCTCATGGCGATTGATTATCGTCAGATTTATGCTTACGCGTGAATACATAGCAGATATTGACAACCTTTAAATAATATATTGTATTAATTAATGTTAAAATTCTTGATATTTATAACAGAGTAACAATGAATATTTTAAATAGCAACATTCCCCACTGATAAATAGGCAGTAATTTTCATTTCTAATCATGATTTGCTTTTCTTTAAAAGTGCTACCGCTGCATCTGTGGTCATGAGCTGCCATGTTGAAACAACATAAAACCATCTGATTTAGTCCATGTGGGAATGAAAATCCAATTGTCTGAACTCGTGCAAAATCCACCCAGAATCTATTATTCCTGTCAAATGGGAGCACAATGATTGTGCTGTGCTGTGAAGTACTGAAATGATTCAATCTAAGAGGGCTAACAGTTTCGGTCTGGCCCGGGACCATCTGCTTCTAGGAAAAGAAATTGATTTCATTGGCAAAAAACTTGAAATCAGAGTCATCTTTCTTAATCTCTTCCTGACTTCTTGGAAACGTCCTGGCCTTTTGGGGGGGAGTAATGAGCTCACAGGAGAGTTTGATGATCCATGTCCTCACCCCTTGCTCCAAATACAAGATGTGCCCAATTCAGTTTGGTGGATCATTTTCTGCATCCTGGCTACTTGCATTTGAGCTGCTTCTACGTTATTTTTAGATGGTGAAACATGAAATCAGTTACGACATAATTTAAAGAAAAAAATTGCTGTTGTGTTTTTCTCACTATATGAAATGAAATTCGGCTTCAGATAATGGACTTCTAAGGGTAGAAACAGTTTTCCGAGTGTGCAGCGGTCCTCTCATCTATGCGTCGGTGTAGCTCCGAGCTCTTCTTCTTTATAAACTGCATATGCAGTTTATGCTCTGATTGTATAATATCATCATTATAATATCATTTTTATGCAAAAAAATAAAAAATCTCATTTTTCCCACTTAATGAAATACTGCTGTTTGAAATATAAGGGGAAACTTTTGAGTTTGTACTCAAAACAGCCTCTCCTTCTGTGTGGATTATGAGTACAAATTTAATAAAAAAGAACTTTATTTTAAGGATATTTGGAGACGACAGTGCATCAGCTGTGAATTATAGCTCAGCAGACTGGAGCTCAGAGGGTTAAAGAACCACATAGTGTACCAGGGTGTGTAAAGTTAATTGAAGACTTACGCCAGTTGTTTCTTATGACCCAGGAACCTGAAAAGAACACACATTGACAGAAATGTACACACACACACACATTGCGATACTGTCACTGCTGTATCTGTTATGTTTGTGAAGACGCTGCCGTAGCTCATTAACCATGGTCAGTCGCTGTGTGCGCCTCCATGTGTTTGGCCATGATGCCTTGTCTGGGTGATTAATGGCGCTTTCTTGCCTGCACTAGGTTGTGATCGGAGTTTCCTATTGTCAGACACATGACCTCAATTACCACACGAGAGAGCAGACATGAACAGCATCGTGCTCCCTTCATGTTACAAACATTTATTTCAGTGACAACATGTGTTGAGTTAGGAGCCTTTAAAGTTTCTGTTTTCTCCACCTCTCCAGAGTTGGCAGGTTGGTGTCCTTTAGGCAGCACTAACACTTGCACAGGCCAAGCTAACGGCTAGTGAGCGAGCAAAGCTTAGTAGCTGAGAAACCAAATAAGAGGTGGTGGAAACCAACACCCGTTGTGTGTCTCCCCTCTGTTTTTCTTTCTAGTTTGTTGTTGCTGTTTGAAGACTTTGACTTTGGTTTCCCACAAAATAAAGCTTTGTTTTCAGTTTATTGTTGTCAGGCTGGCGTTTGGGTCCTATTCTGTCTACCCTGGACATTCTAGCATGTTAGCATTTCTGTGTTTTACTTCTGTGTCTAAAATCCACCAGTGCAGGTTTAAGAGATACTTTTTGGTGCTTGTGACCTACAATCTCATGTAGTATGACATAGAATTGTCACTAGACGATCAATATCATTCACTTGAGATATCAGGGCCTAAATGTTGTGGCTGATCACAGGTTATGTTATAAATTTGAGGATAAATGCAGCAGATGTAAAAAGTTTGAAATCTTAACCACATATTTTCTATTTTGTTGCAAAATTTGGTTCGGACTTTAAACTTTATGACTAATAGAGGAAGTTCTAGACCAGTCTCCCAAGCTTATATGCTTCCATACTAATGAGGAAAATCGTTACCTATTGTGTGGCTTGCTCAGAAAATATTTCAAGAACTTCTTTTAAACACTCCTGAAATTAGGACAGTACCGCAGCTGTCTAAGCACAGAGTGGATGTGAATATGATTAGCCTTATTTAGTTTGCCTCGTGTCTCATTCACTGAGTGACCTGTTACATGGAAAATATGTGGGGACTAGTTTGCTCGAAAACAGCTTCAAAATAATTAGATGCTTTGGAGTTCTGTCAAAACACTCCAGCAGCAATTAAAAACGGAATACGCTTCAAAACCACCTAAAGGTGACATTATAGAGCTTGTTAAATTGTTAAATGTCAGATCAAATTGAAAATATTGAATACTGACAGGAATTTCAGATGCCAGTGAAGGTGTACCTGCAGTAAACACACAGTGAGAAGTGCTGCACGAGATTAAATGTCTTTGCTATTGTTTTCACCATCAATCTTTTCTCTATCTTCTTTGCCTCCGACTAGTGTTCTCCACCTTTCCCCTCACTTTCTCTCTCAACTAAATCACTACGACCTCAACCGCAGCCCCCCTTCTCCGCCAAATCAGGTGTTGGGTTTTTACCATCCTCCTCAGTGCAGTGTCGTGTGCTGGTATGTGTAAGTGTGATCACCCTGCCAGGAGCCAGGTAAAAATAGGTGCCTTATTTATTCTATTAGGACCTGTCATTTTAACAAAGAAGCAGCCAGGAAAGT